GAAGAACAAAAACTTGAGCAAACAGGTGAACGTACTCCATGTTTTAGGCAAACACACTTCATTGTTCAATAGCCATTTTCCCTTCTTTTTTGCTAAAAGCCTCTGAGTTTGTGTTGTAAGTCACTAGTCAAACAGGATGAATTATGACTGATCTAACCCCTAGGGCTCTGCTAGGACCTGTTTATATTCTACCAGCTCACAAGAGCTGATTCTACACATTTCTTAACAACTCAGTTCAGTGACATCATGCTGTAGATTGAAACCTGCCAAGGTAGGAGTATGTATGCCATAGAAATCATCAGGTACTACAAATTAGGATCACTCTGGTGCACAGCCAGTTGTTAATCATTTATCAGAACTTTCTAAAGTCATCATGGAAATTTCATGTTCTTTTGCCATTTATTGGCTCAGTAATAGATAAGGGACCAAGTTCTGACCTATGGTGAGTAAGAGAAACTCTGATGGAAGGCATCTGGGAAAGATTTCCTCCTTGATAAGTAAAAGCTGCCAGCAACCTTTCCTTTATCTTTTAGGTGATATTGTGTAATTCTTTGAGATGTAATGCTTTAAGATGGAACCACAAAAAAGGTCAATAGGATCCAGAGATGCCTACACAGATCATAAATAACCTTGAACTACTACCGAGGGCATCCAGAGCTCAAGAAAGGAGAAGCAGTCCACCCTGGATATAGGAAATAATGGGATGCGTTTTCTCTGCAGAGGTAGAGAATTTAAAAATAATTAAACACATTAACTATCAGTCCCCTTTTGATTATCCTCCTGTACTAATGATTCTAAATAATGTTAGTGATAAGATACCCCTCCCCTACTCAACTCCTCTGATATGCTAGGACTAGTAACCTAGAACCAACTATGTCAAACATCTAGGTACTGGAGATAATTAAAAGATTTTTTTATTTAAGCAACTTTTATATTAGTTTTTTTATTACTCGCAACTGCTAAAATTGTCCAGAAAAAAAAAAAAAGTAGACTCAGAAGGTTAGGTTAATTCAACACTGAAAAGAAAGCCATGAACTCCCCCTGCTTTGAGGACTCGTGAGGCACCTGGATCCCAGGGCTCCCACAGCTCTGATCATGCAAGGCTTGGCCAGTTATTGTTCCCCTTTTTGTCTGTCCAGAGGATTCCTCCTATGTGCTGCCAGTATTACTGTGTTAAATGGCCTTTACATTGATTGGTGTGAATAATTTCTTTGGCTTTGTAACCAAAACCAACTACAAAACAAAACCTAGCCTTTAACAATTAAATTAAAAGAGACTGCTCCAATATAAGATATTGATTGAATTCGCATTGCAAAATCTATACTAAGGATACACCAAATAGATAAAAATATACTTAACATAGCATTGTTTATAATTAAATTTACATTTTATCTAAATGCTAACAAAAGGAGAACAGATAAATTCATGAGTTTTTGAAGAATATACAATGATGCAGAAATATTCAGCCAAATGTTATGTGTAAAAAGGCAAATAATTTATGTGTGCATATATATATATATGGCATGACACAAATATTTGAAAATATAAATATATAGAGAGAACAATGCTAAATATAAAAAAATCAGATATCAGCTGCTATTATTCCTGAATAGTGAAATCAAGGGCTATTAATATTTTCTCTCACACATTTTCTATGTTTTCAACTCTATAAAAATAAAATAATTTAAAAATAATTAATTAGCATACATTTCCTTTTCACATATTAGTATACCATGAAAATATACTAGGTAACAGGAATTAGTTTTTAGGGAGGGACTGTGTGTTTCTGTGTGTGTGTGTATATATATATATACACATATGCATAGATGAAAGAAATAAATTCAATAAGTCAAGCTGAACTACATCAGGGATATTTTAACAAATGGTTTTAAATATTCATGATAATTTGCATTTTATAAAAAAAGAATATTATCACATTCCAGGAAAAGCTCTCACAACAAAAAAAGAAAGGAAAAAAATATGTAACCCACCTTAAGAAAAGGCTTACTTTTTAAGAGAATAAAGAAGACTATAAAGTACTTAGTTCTTTGCTGTTACAACAGTATAATTAAAACCTGAGTTACATTTCTGAGGATATGGCTTTATGAGTGTATTTGCACAATCCTGTGGGATGCCATTCAAATCTGGGATGAGAGAATAATCTGATGAGAGAATAATTCCAGGCTTCACATGGAATCTCAAGCCTGTCTGAGACAGAGGTATGTTTATACTTATTTCTTTGCTTCTTTAGATTAGCACTATCAAATGCATATACTATTAGTTTAATTATCATATTATATCTCAAATCAATTAAGTTTCCCATTAATATTTGTTCCCAAGTGGAGAAAATTTTGGTTGGAAAGGAAGTGCAGGGAAATCAAGAGATATAAGTTTATTAGAAGAGGGAAAATGTTTATTTACTTGAAAAGTCAAGAAAAGTCTGAGACTTCCAACTACTATTTTCTATTATGCTTTGCCCATGAATAGGAGTTTCTTTTATAGACACAGTAAATTGTTGAATTGTGAAGATTATAAGGCATGAGGCTCATAATCCCAGAGTAGACCACTGATGCTACTATATAACACTACTTAGCTTCCAGAAAGCCCACCAATAAAAGCCTCCTTATATTACATGAAATGAATTATATTCAGTATTATCCTATTTCAGAAAACTGACAAGAGCAAATATACAAATTAAAAGATCAAAAACATACCAGATACAGCAAGGAAGTCATCAATGCTTGTAATGTCATCTACTGCTTCGGTGAGGACATGTATATGATTCTCCCATGTGCGCTTGTACATTTCCATGGTGTTTTTGACCACTTGACTTTTGGGTCTTGCAGCCAAAGCAAGTGCAGCATTAATAATCTGTAAAGATGTAGAACGTTTACATAGTTATCTCTTTGGGAACAGTTACCATTGTGCAGATGACAGATATTTTTTTTCTTTTGAAGACTGAACACATTCATCCTTAACAATAGGGAAAATGGTAAAATGCCTCAATGTGTAACTTCCTCTTTGCTTCAGTAATGATTTAGCTTTATTTTTGACAATAATTAATTTCAAAACTATTTATTGTCACTGCACTAAAGACTGTAGGAGATACAAAGATAATTGGTGTATGCCTTTAAGGAGTTTGTATACTACTCAATGGGAAGGGGAAGGTATAAATAACTATAACTTAATTCAGTATGCAATAAATGTTATAACAGCAAATAACAGTCAATAGGCTTTAGACAGCAGAGCGATTACCTTCGGCAGGGAAGAGCAATATTTTAACAGGGCATTTGGATTGACATTGCACAATTAGGTAGTGAATGCCTACTATATGCAAATCATTGGAATGAAAGCTTTGACTTCTTTGAGGGCTTATAGAATGTCACCAGTAGATGTTAATTAATTCATTTATTCATTCAATACTTCAAATATAAACCGACTGTCTTTTATGTATCAATCATTGTAAGATTTAAGGGATATGGCAATGAAGAAGATACAAGCAAAAATCACTGCTTTTGTGGAGGTTATATTCCAGTCGAGGGTGGCAGGCGAATAGCATATTAAATAAGTAAAATATATAGTCTGTTAGATGGTTATGAGAACTAAGGAGAAAAAATAGAACAGAAAAGGAGGATAAGGAATAGAGTGGTGGGAAGGGTAGGAGGTTTGAAATTTTAGGAACGCCTTGCACTAAAGCAGACATTTGAGTAAAATCACTGACGGGAATGAATTTTGGGACAGAGAAGTGGCAAGATTCAAGAGAAGACAAGACAGGGAAATGCTGTGAGAAGGGTAAGCAGTCCTATCTAGAGTCCTATCAGTCCTGCACTACGCAAAAGGGACCAGCAGGAATCCTTGACCATCCTGCTCCTGGAAGCCACTGGAGAGCTATGTTGCCTTCTGGACAATTTTCTCAGAACTACATTTTAGAAGAATCAATTTCACAGCCAAACATAGGAAGCTACTGCAAGAGGTTATAGGAGTGACAAAGAACCTGAACTCCAATGTGGGAGGTAATGAAAAGGACATGACAGGACTTTTAACTAATTAAAGGAAGATGAGGTTAGGTCAAAGATTATTGCCAGGAACACCAGGTAGTCACTAAGGAATCTTTGGAAAATACTATTTAAGGACATGGAAATACATCCACAACAGTGCAATAATAGCAGAGTATAAAACATTAAGCTTTATCGGATGCCATTTCTACATCTAAAAATGTACAAACATGCTAGAAACATGCTAGAAATAAAAGTAGGGCAAATTCACACAACAATTAATAGTTCTCTCTGGGTGGTGGAATTTCTAGTGCTTTTTCTTTTTTGTGTGAAATTTTCAGACTTTTTATGGGAATATGTTTTAGTTGCATACTCAGAATAAATGAAGTTATTCTTCATAATTCTTCAAAGAAAGATGATTGCTAAAGTTTTTTTTCCATGAGTAATAGGGAGAATGGTTACAGTATTGTTAAAAAAGGGCAAGTTGGAGAGTTCGAAATTAGTCAGGGTGGCAGAAGCAGATGTGTGCTGTTGTTTTGGAAAATAGTGTTGATGAGGGGTATTAGATGCCAACTTTCCTATTATAGAAGTTGACTTTGAAGTGGTTCCTGTTTCTCCATACAAATTACAAAGTTTGCCGTCAGAGATGTGGAACTGGAGCTCATTTTTTTTTAAAGTTGTTATCCCTGTACTCTTCATTTGTTCATACATTGAAACTTTTTTTTTTTCACTTTTGATTTTTTTATTTCAGCATATTATGGGGGTACAAATATTTTGGTCACATATATTGCCTTTGTCCCACCCAGGCCAGAGCTTCAAGCATGTCCATTCCCCAGACGGGGCACACCACACCCATTAGGTTGAATATACCCATCTCCTCCTCCCCTAACCTCACCTGCCTGACACCCGATGCATGTTACTACTATATGGGCACATATGTGTTGATCAGTTAATACTAGTTTGATGGTAAGTACATGTGGTGCTTGTCTTTCCATTCTTGTGATACTTCACTTAGTAGAATGGGCTCCAGCTCTATCCAGGATAATACAAAAGATGCTAGATCACCATTGTTTTTTGTGGCTGAGTAAATCTCCACGGTATACATATACCACATTTTATTAATCCACTCTTGTACTGATGGGCACTTCGGTTGTTTCCACATCTTTGCAATTGTGAATTGGGCTGCTATGAACATTCTAATATAGATATTAATGTGTAGCATCGATATTATCATATTATGCACAGGATACTAGTGACATCATAATGAAAAAGTTGTCATCACAGTTTCTGTTCTAAGACACCCCGAAGTCTGGGAGGGGAATCAGCCAAAATCCAGACAATTGCAACATATCAATGGTTCCTGAACTTTAGTCTACATCAGAATCACCTGGAAGGCTTAATAAACCCCAGATTCCTTGGCTACATCCCTAGAGTTGCTGATTTAGTTGATTTGGGGAGGGGCCTGAGAATTTGCATGGCTAAGAAGTTCCTAGGTGATACTGATGCTACTCGTCTGGGGACCTCATTCAGAATCACTGCAATATATTAATATAATGATAAGTGCCATCATGTGGGGGCTATCATAAGGGTAAGAACAAAATGCTTTATAGCACATGGGAGAGGTACTCAGCTTCATGAGGAAAGATGTCTCAAAAGACTAAAATCTGAAAAATAAGCAAAAATTTGTATAAACAGTGATGATATCCTTTTAGAAAGAGGTAATAACGTGTGCAAAGACCTAGCAGCAAGATAGAGCCTAACTCTACCTCCTGGGGAATGTTTGGAGGAGATCAAGCACTTTCAGGATGGTATGGCTGTAGATTCCTGAGGAATGGTCGGTGAAGGGATAGTAATTAGAGTTGGAATAAAGAGAATACAATGGAGAATGGGAGGAAAGAATACAGGAGGAAAAGATCAAGTGGAGATAAAGATGAGAGAAGAAATCAAGGAAGATGGAAAAGTCAGGTATTAAAGGGTCAGAAGATGAAGAAGAAAATCTTTTTAAAAGGTCAAGTGCTATAAGAGAGTCCAGAATAATGAAGACTAAAAAAGGCTTTTGAATTTGGAAAATAGAAGTCATGTGCATAAAAAAATGTTGGACACAGGATTCAGATTTCACCAAAATATGATAACAATAAAAAGAAGGTTTTTCTACTTTGTAACCTAAAGGCTGTTTCTTAAATGACTTTCTTTCAACAAATTATTGGAGGTAGAGGAAAGGAGAAATTAGTTGCTTGGAAATATTACATTGATATTCTTTTATTTCTTTTTAATAAAAGAGGAACACATTAAATTTTAAGAAAACACACACTAACTTTAGAAATAAATATGGTGTAGTATTCTTTGACTTCAGTTTTAGAGTTTTATTAACCTATTAACTTACAATGTACCTTTGTGTACACTGTAAAGGCTCTGGTCTCTGGTGTTTCATTGTTCCTGCAATTGGACAACTGAGTACACATGTGGTTGGGCTGAAATTATGCCTTCGCAGCAACACATACTTTTAAAGCACTGCTGCAGAACCTTCAGTGGGGATATGGAGTCATGGATATAAGACAGGCTATATTTTGTGAGAACATTTTCAGCTCTGCCACTGATCCAATTTATCTGATTCAGCACTGCACACTATGAGAAAGCTTTACCCTACTTGACTTTCCTGATATTTAGCTTAAATCTAAAAGCAGATTCAGTTCAGAAGAATTTTTCCAACCCACTGTAAGGCAGAAGAAATCTTCATGCCCATGTCAGACTCCTAGCATTTTAGCTATATATATATATATATATATATATATATAAAGACTATTCTTAAATCCTCATGCATAACTAAAGAATTTGAAATGAGTTATGTTATTTTCTGAGGCATTTTATTATTTTTTTTAAGATTATGGTAGAGATGTGTACATGTCAGAATCCCCCTCGATCTTGACAATCGCCTTTGAAAGAATATCTCTAAGTTTGGGCTTTATTATATCTTAACTGGATTATTTTAATGGGCTTTCAAATACTTTCCTATTTCCAGTCACTATTTGCTCCAAGCCATTGTCCTTCCTCCAAACACATTTTCTTTCTCAAATGCAGAAGTGATCACGTCCCTTACTTGCTGATTACCTTTGATAACCTCCCACTTAACTAAAAACAAAATCCAAGTTCCTTTTCACTAATTCACAGTCTAAAAACATCCACAGGCTGGCCCTTCCCTGCAGTTCTCTGTGCTGTAAATAATTCCCCTGATTTCGGCCTTTGTTCCAGCCAGTTTTCAGTCCACTTCCTGATCACATCACGCATCTTCATGCCTCTGTGACTGTACTCTTACAACTGAATCTGCTTTAGCCCTTGCTTTATTCCTTTCCCTGCTCTACCTTTTTGGCATTAGGTACCGGTTTCATGGAAGACAATTTTTCCATGGACAGGGAGGGGGAATGTGGGGAGCCAGACAGGCGTAGCTCAGGCCATGATGCGAGCAATGGGGATGGAGAGCTGCTGTAAGTACACTGACTCACCGCTCACCTCCTGCTGTGCAGCCCGTTACCTAAGTGTCCTGGAAGACAATTTTTCCATAGGGGAGTTGGGGGAAGGTGGGGCGCTGGAGCTCTGTGCCTAGTCCCTAACAGGCCACAGACCGGTACTGGGGATTGGGGACTGCAGCAGGTCTACCCCATCTCAGCAAACATTTATTTCTAACAAACCAATGGAAGTATCGCCACGTAGTATTGTTAGGTGGAAAGGAAAACAAACAGGTGGCAAGGAATAGCTAAGGGCGGAGAGGGAGAACCGAATTGTAGCTAAGGACCAAATTGTGGCTAGGAACTATTCCCTGGTGGGAACATACACAGTAAGGAGCTTTTGGTGACCTTTAACTGACCTGGGGCTCATTACCACCTAATTAACATAACATGGGTGGAATTTTCATGAAGGATTCTGGGGAAGACTCATGCACAGAAAGGGAAACTGTTACGTAACCGGCCTGTTACGTAACTTGTTACGTAACCACAACCTGTCAATCACCCAAAGGCGGGAAACAGCAACCAATTCTGCCAGGAGAATGGCGGTACAAACTAGTGAGCATGTAAAAGACAGAGTGTGCTCAGACTTCGGCATCTTTTTCCACTGTGGAGACTGACCCGTTCTTCTCTCTCTGGAATGTATTTTCACCTTGTGTCATTTTGTGTAGTTTCCTTCTTCACTTGCGCTTCGTATAGCTTCTTTCTTTTTCCCATAATAAACTGTGTGGAATTGCTCTGTATCTGTGATCACTCCATCATCGGCTCAAGGTGGTACCAGTCCTCACTCTTGACACTGGGAGCCGGGGGACCAAGGAAACAGCCAGACAGACCTAACACAATGAAGCCTATCCCATTCCCTATACCCAACAAACTGAATTGTCTTCTCCTTTGTGTTTTAAAAGTACTTTGTCCATATAACTAGATATTAGGTATTCTATTGCATGGGTGTTCATACACATGTCTGCTCCTACATGATAAGTTTCTTCACAGGAACTATGCCTTATTCATCTTTGCTTCTTGGTATACTAAATACATTAATCTTGTAACTGCTATATTCAGAAACTCTCCCCAACAGAAACTATTCTGCTTACAGCCCACACTGAGAGGATAGCCACAGGGAGCCAGGTTTGGTATCATTTTCCTCCTCTTCAACACTATTTCGGTCACAGGCAGGTACCCAATTCAAGAACAGTCAACCTGTAGGCTGGCTAGCTGTTGTTCTTGAGGCTTGATGTAAAAGGTTGAGCTGTTTTAATCTATCTTGAAATTTTGAACTAGAATTTGTGAAGAAATCACTAGTCAGTGATGGAGGCTAAAGCTTCAAATATGTATACAGAGAAGCCATCTAGTAAAATCAGAGCCAGAGGGGGTTGATGGAGTTGAGGCCACAAGGGAATTACAGCAAGCCAAAGTTGCAAGGAACATAAACAGCACATAGAGTAAAATAATCCAGTGGCAGGCAAAAGGAGAATGGAAACAATATGCAAAGAAGTCAAAAGCACCAAAAGAGAGGAAGCAATATTCATAGAACAAAAAAGGGCTGAGAGTAGACTGTTTTCAACAGTATCCTATTTCAGGTTAAAAGTCCACAGAAATAATAATAATGATAAATACTAACATTCAAAGTCCCTGCTTTGTGCCATACACTTTCCAAGCACTTTCTACATATTAACTTATCTAATTTTTTATCCTATTTAATTTTTACAACAAGACAATGAAGTAAGTAGGCATCGTCATTATCACCATTTTCAGACAAGGTCACATCGTTGTTAAGGACAAAATGTCAACCCAACCTAGAGTTTATGTTCTTAACTGCCATGCCATGCTATCTTCTACAGCAATGTTATAAAAATTTATGATGCCATGAGAGAGTACATGATCATTAAAACCAAAAGAGCTTCACTGAACGAAACATTACAATGCCTGGTGTGAAGAAACACAAAAGTGTTTTTTGTGTTAAAATATACATAAAATTTACTATTTTAACCATTTAGAAGTGTAAAATTCAGTGGCATTTAGTACATTCACGTTCTGTGCAACTGTTATCATTATCCATCTCCAGAACGTTTTATCATCTCAAATTGAAATTCTGTACCCATTAACCAGTAACTTCCCATTCCCTCTTCCTCCAGTACCTAGTAACATCTATTGTACTTTCTCTTTGATTTTGACTATTTTGTGTTCCTCCTATAAGTGGAATTATACAATATTTGTTCTTTTGTGTCGGGCTTATTTCAGGGTTCACTCATGTTGCAGCATGCATCAGACTTTCATTACTTTTTAAAGCTGAATAATATTCCACTGTATGTATATACCACATTTTGCTTATCTATCCATCGCTTAATGGACATTTGGGCTATTTCCATCTTTTGGCTAATGTGAATAATGCTGTTATGACCATTGTTGTACAATTATCTGTTTGAGTCCTGGCTTTCAGTTATTTTGGGTATATAGCCAGAAGTGGAATTGCTGGATTATATGATAATTTTAAGTTTAAATTTTTGTGGAATTGTCATGCCATTTTTTATAGGGGCTGTACCATTTTATATTCCTAACTGCATTACACAAGTGTTCCTTTTTCTTCACATCCTGTTCTTTCTTCCTTTCCTTCCTTCCCTTTCTTTTTCTTCCTTCCTTGCTC